ACGTTTGAATCTACGACCCCATGCCAACTTTGCCGCTTCTTGCTATCGGTCAAATTAAACCAATCTGACAATGCCACATTCCAAAATCACGTGTGGTAACATCTATTTACAACCGAGAATGGTTGAACACTGATGCATGCGGTAATAATTAAAAGGACTTTCGAAGTAAATGACTCCTGTGACAAGTGAGATGTTGTCAAAATGTCTATGACAACTCACTATCCATTGCGTAGACTTTGGTGTAAGCACATTACGTACGCACTTCTTTTCCGGAAAGATATTGTGAAAAGTATGACCATAACTTTTTACAAGGCATTGCGCGTAAATGTTGTTGCTCGATATCGAATATAAGCAATTTTCTGGGAGGTATCATAATCAAAAATATGAAGTGGTTGTCCACTTTCTAACATTACCAAATTGTGATGTTTTATGACTGACATATATTAATTTTCCGTAATTTCGCCGCTAATCAGCAATTCACAAAATGTTCCACGCTTGTGATGTAATACTCGGAACTGAAGCTTTTCCCGCGAGGAAATATGATCGTATCCATATCGTTTTCGATTCCAGTAATCTGCACTAATATTAATGCAAAATACTGAATAGGTAAGAAGATAATCGTCTTGTGTGCTCAAAATCGAAAATGAGAGGTTTTTAAGATTTTACATTCATTCGTAGGCTTATGATAGGGTCAATGACCTTTTTTCACAACCACCCATCCAACCATACCGGCCACGCCCACCTCATCCTCTAATCAATTCGACCGACGCCTGCGCCTAATTGTAACCCTGGCGGATCCTGCTCCAGACTTATTCTCTTAACAGGAGTCATGAAGATGATAAAAACGGGGTTGATTTTTTCATTGCCATTCATGATGTAAATGAATACCTCTCGGCTTGCGCTGGACATAGGATAACACATATTCCAAGTCGAGATCGAATAGTATGCTTTGATATAAAGGTGTACAGTATAAGGCGCGGTACTTCCTACTCTTCTATACAAGTTGTTGCGTTGCTTTACGCTGTTATAACTCAATCGACTCCACCCCCTTATGAACAGATGCCTGAACCGTGATATGTAATATGACTGTAATACCGCTAGCAGCCTTTTCCTCATTTACCTAAAATTATTGGAAATGCAGGCCAATAGTTGTATGGAATAAGATAGATTAATTATAGAATAAACACTCTGACAAACCCCCCACTCTTTCGCTGAAAGATCACTTTATGTTGTTTGATACCATATTATTGTGTAACTTCCT